ATATAAGTTTAACATGACAGCAAATGTACAGTTTTTTCTTCATTACCCATTTAAGCCGTCTCCAGCCATTATTAGTCTCAAAGTGGGTTCCTTGTCATCGAATTTAAAATATTAAATAAGCCAATCTTATATCTTAAAACTGCTAATTTATTTGATATAACTGATAACAGAATACACTGGTTTCCTGGATATGTAAAAGCATCATTAAATTTGTAACATAAAAGTTCTTTTCTTACAATATAACCTAGCATTATTTATATATGTTAATATTTGTTCCTTAACTGAATGATTGTTTATAATGTCTCATTACACAGGTAGTACTTGATAATGTTAGTGCACATCAACATATAAGCCTTCTATTTTTCTAACCATTAATTTTCATAATCAACATGAAATTATTTCTCTATTTACCTACAAATATATGTTATTATCAAGTTTGTTTTTAATGTAAATTGTCTTTCCAGAATGTGTTCAAAATGTATGATCGTGATGATTCAGGATTTCTCAGTACTCTGGAGCTTAGGATGGCTTTGAACTCAGCAGGTGAAAATAGAGTTTAATAAACAACAAGTACTTAGAATTTGTCAATTACTAAGTTCTTCAAGAGGATATGAAAATTAAATGTTAGATATACACTACTGTTTCAGTTTAATGTGAGTGTTATGATTTACATAGTTTATCGCAAGCATGTTTACATAACCCTTTAGAAATCGTATGTTGTGTAGTTCAATGGTTGTGAATTGGCAATTGTTATATTATTGTCATGTTACTACAACCTTTTTCTCGTTGTTTTAATTGAGTATTATTGCATCATAATATCAAGTGGTGTGTGGAACATTCTAAACCTCTATCAGGATATAAATACACATTGAAAATTTAGTTTGAGAAAAATATACATCTAGACTGTGTGATCGTGAGTTTAGTGATAACTAGCATATAGTGGTGATTTTTAAAGGGAAATTATCACAAACTGTATTGTAATAACAGATCAGGAAAAATAATTCATCTTGTCCAATTATGATATAAAGTAACTGAACCAGTCTCTGTGAATTTTGATGTAAAAGAGACAACTATTTAAAGCTCTGGATAAAACTGATAACCAACAGTGTAATGAACATTTGTATACATGTTTTAATTGTTTTAATATTATTTTAAAACAAGTGGACTGTGTACTGTTTGCTTATTGTTGAAATTTATCACAACAAGTCACTGTAAAGAATCCTGCCCATACATAAAATCTTGACAGTAAATATTCTGTCAAAATATTTTATATATTTACAGAAATCCTCAACAAGTTCTAACGTATTTCACTTTTACAAAGTTTGTAATACTATTTTTTAGGTAAACAAGCAATTGAAGAAGATTAAGTTTTGTATTTTATTAAACTTTAGATTACTTACATAATGAAAACGTTCAAAATTTTGGTAATAAATTACTAAGAAAGTAACATACTGAAGACAAGAATGTTTAGGGAAGAGTGAAACTATACACTTAAATCATTACCAAGGTCTTATAGTTAACCATTTAATACAAATCATACTTATATAAACACAATTATTCTACTGGAGTACATGCACAAAGCTGATACCATCCTTTGAGAGTTTTATGACATTTAACATGAACAAGCTAAAAATTTACGATTTCATAATGAATTATATCCCTTTTTGAAAGAAATTAGGTTTTTACATATAAAACTTTAGATATTTTTATATTTCATTGACCATCAATAAATATTAGAGCATAAAAATTTAGTTTTATAGTCAGTGGACCAATATAATATTTGTAACATCAAATGTAACTGTTGTGTTAATGTTTCTTAAGCTCTTATTCTGCATTTTATAATATTGAGCACAAAAAGCTGAAATTTAACTTTTCTATTTTTCAGTGTAAAACAAAAGTAATATGAAAATTTAATACATACTTTTATTGTTTTAGGTGATTTTTATTGATCAAAAAGTCAGTCTAATTTTAAGATAATCAAAAGCTTTGACATATTTCACTACAATAGGGTATCGAGTTAACAGTAATATCCTAAGAACATTGGTCTTAAGATATGGGAAGAAAGAGCAAATGGACTTTGAAGACTTTCTCATGTGCACCATAAAATTAAAGAGTATGATAGGTAAGAGTGTCTATCTGAGATTTATTTACTTTTTACAAATAAATTTATTTCTTTAACAATACATTCTATTTATTGAAGAGCCTTAACTTGAATATTTACAGATAATATTTGTAGTGTTAAACAGAAAAATACACAACACTGACTAATCTTTGCTTCTATTTCTATATACTGTTTTAATTATTCTGTGTTACTTCCAGGCCACAAATTTCTTTGCAATCAAGTAAAAAATCAATTAAATATTCTGTATCCTAAAACGAAGTTTAGTGCTTTGTTATATTTAAATAATGTTTGTATTTTTATCCTTAACTATTTGTTATTAAGAATAATTCTGATTCTGCATGAAGAGTATTTTTATGAAAACTTATTTTGCAATTCAAATGATAAAACCAAATCTTTTATTGTTATAATTTTGGTTTTATCACAAGGCAATAGTTTATAAAATATACATTTAGAATATCTTAGTAGTTTTATAAAAAGATGTATACTTTGTAGAATGTTATAAAGAAAATGAGCCGGTTCAGTGTAGCCTAAATGCAAAGTGTATTTGGGTTAATGTTAAATATTTGATCTTGGAAGAGACATTTGTCAGTTTCTCATAAAACCATGTCATAATATTAAGTTTGTCTAAATTTGATTTAACACAATTTTTCATTGCATTTCTCATGTAATTTAAAAAAAAAATCTTATGAATCTTTCAAAAATGTATCTTGCTTCTGCACAGAAACCTTTCTTGAAAGGGATCCACGACGAACTGGCCGTGTTAACTTTACTTTAGAAGAGGTGAGTATAACTGACAAATTATATTAGAAATTTCACCTTGGAAAGATGACTAATCATATGCATGTAAACATATTGAAAAGCTGTGGATCTAGTCACTAACTCTATAATCAAAATTACACCTTCAGTGTGGAAACAAAGAATGCCAAAATTAGCAGCTACCTTAGGGGTGGTAAACCTTAAAACAATGTTCAAGAAAGATCATTAATTAGCTTGCTGATTGAAAATGTATCTATAATAAGAGCACTGTGCAAATGCTGAAATTTAAAATACAGAGAAGCAAAAATTAAATTCTTAGTTATACTCAAGTATATATATTAACATACATAATTTCTATCAATCATCAAATAGGACTTAATTATATGTAATCTTAGTTTGTCTTACTTTCTTTTAGCTTTAAGTTTCGTTAAGCCTGAGAAAAAAGTTAATGTGACTTGATGTTAGTTTTATATGGAAAGTTGAAATTTTCCTATTCTGAAATTGTATTTCCGATGGGTATTTACCTCTTCTCACATAAATAGCTATTCTCGTTCAGTGCTGATCTCTGTAGGCAAAATGTTTTTGTGCACACCACAAGCTTTGGAACTCCCACCCATCTGGACTTTACTAATTCCAATTCACATGTATGTTGTCATTTGACAACCCTCCATAAAAAGAGCATGATACACTCTCTTGATGCATGCGACTCCCTCTGTTTTGGGGAGGAAGGGTGTGTAGAGGTAAGTAACTATCGGAAATACATTTTCAGAATAGGAAAATTAAAATTTCTGATACGGTACATTACTTCATCTCACATGAATAGCTAGAATCCCACATTGAATAGGTAGAGGGAGTGGTGCGAGGGAAAGAAAGAGCATCTTTTGAAAGCATCCAAAGGACACTCCCTAAAAGGAGATCTTCAGAGTCAAAGATCATACATGGGAAACCACAACACTTCTGAACCAGATTACTCATTGCCCAGTGTGAAACAATGTTGCATATATGGGTGGAAAGATTGAGGAGTACATCCAAATGGGAGAAAACTATGGCAGAATAGTGATTCAAACCATACATTATTTATAAAACTCAATCCCAGAAAACAAAAGTGGGTAAGATTAAATGATGTGTCCCTAGGTGTTGAGTGGCTAGGGTGTGAAGGAGCATACATGGCAAGTCAAATACATCCAAAACCCAACCCACTGGGAACATAATCCATGCAAAGGTAGGATGAGGATCATACAGTTGATAAGTCAACTACAATCCAAAACCCAGCCACCAGGTATCGACATCCATATGGGGGGTAGGAAAGATGATCATACTAGCAGCAAGTTAACTACAATCTAAAACCCAGCCATCTAGTGAGGGTAGGAAAGAGGATCATACCATCTTCACCTCAAATTCATTCATTCACAATCAGATCTTTATTCTTGAAATCCTTAAACAGGGGAAAGATGAATGCATCATCAAAATCAGCATACTTTATATGGTAAAGCTTTATATTGATTACTCGATGTTGTTGAACAATATCAGTAATCTTTCCCTTAAACCTATCTGATTGATCTTGGGATCACGACATTGATGTTCCATCATTTTCCTGACCAACAAGGTAGGATAATCTAAAATGGACTGTAATAAGTATTTTTGTTGTTGGATGATAATTTACTTCTTTTGGTTATTCCAAAGCATGAACATTTTTTGTTTTGCTTTATCCATTTCATCAAGTACATCTGTGTCTGGTTTATAGTGTAGCTTACCTCTAATTGTGGATGAGGTTTGCAGTCCTACATTATTCAGAGTAAGGACAGTTTTTAGGTTCCTAATTAATGTGTCATTTTTAAATGCCTTGCCTGTCACAGTCTTATGAAACAGATCACTACTCCCTTTTGAATGAAGAACCAGCTGGTGACACTGTAGTTGAATATACAATGACTCAAACAGTGCAGTAGATGACTTGTATTTGTCTACTTGAGACTGAAAAGTATTCCAGTTTTGGACAGGATTTTGCATCTGCTGGCATGATCTTTATCATCTTTCTTGTTTTGGGATAAATGTAGAAGTTTCACTCTGTTAATGTAGACTTAATTTTCAGGAGTTGATCATTTAATGTAAGATTGGATCCTTCTGTCTACAATAACCTCCAAAATGGCTCAGTTGTCAATTTATCCACAACTTCCAGTGCTCTCACACATGTGATATAGATCATCAGTTCAACATCGAACAAAATAGATTTGAGTAGCTGGTTGAGACCATTGAACTTTTAAAGAAAGTCTTTCACACGTGGAATATGATGATACAGGCAGGCTGCATCATAGAATGGGATGTTGAACCTATTGCTAATAAAGCTGATTAATCTGTTCTTCTCCTGTTGGTCATGTAAATATGGCTCCCAATACTGGTGAACACCAGATTTATCACATCTATGGGTAGTAAAAGCTTTCCCTGAAGTAGACCAGTTGAACTGCTCCAGCATCACTGCCAATAGCATACAGATTTCGACCTTCTCCAATGATGATCCTTTTATATTCCTTCAGCATTTTATTTGCTTCCATAGCCCAGTTAACAAGTAGATGCAATTTAAAGTAAAAATAGCCCAACTCAGCTAGGTGTTGACGAACCGATATAGGTAAGGTATCCCATGATTCAATGACTTGAGGTAAGTCATTTTGGAGCATGCTATTGAAGAGAGGAGTAATGGAGCCCAAATCCTACATTGCTGATTTATTGATGTTACAAGCCAAGCCACAGTCTCTTCTTGCTTGTGTGTTGAACTTGTTCCTGCGTATGCATACACAGATGGAAATATTGAATTACTTAGGTCTTTGATGCTGTACTTGAAAGCTTCCATAAGTCCTTCTGCATCTTGTCTACCAACTATGACCATGCCAATGGAAATATTTTCCTGGAACAGTAGTAGCTTGGAAGCCTTGGTAATGCTTTGTTGTTGCATCGAAGTGAAGGACGTTGCTTGTTGCTAGATTTCCAGATGTTTCATATAGTAGCTTGCTAACGATATGTTTCTGGGTAACGTTCCTGGCTTCTACCATTAGTCTAGACATACGTTTTTGAAGGCAATCGCTGAACAAACTTCCCTACCAGATTTTCCAACAGTTCTGATAATGGTGTTACTATGTCGTACACTGATGTTGTACTCCCCTCCCAGTGTCATAATAGTTCTTCTTACTTCAGTGTACCTTCCATCTTTAAATGTCGTAATCATGGGATTGTCCAGCAGAGTTGCAAGTTCCTCATGCTCTACAATCTTCTCATGTTAGGCCTTCATTTCAGCATGGGTGTTGGATATCAATTCTTCATTCTGTTCTTTAATTGCATCCCATTTATTTCTAAATCTGCATTTCATACCTGTGACTCAGCTTTGTAGCTTCAATTTATCTGATTTTAATTGTTATATCTTGTCCATGGCATAGGCTAATGATCTTTGGGTATTACTTAATTCTGTTGACAAATGTGGTATTCTAGTCTTTAGTCCTTTCACCATTTTTCAGCATTATATCACGATTTTGGACCCTCTTCATTAATTTCCATTCTTTTGGGGCACATTCGCAAAGAGATCAAGTGACTGTTTCGAGATTTTGTTGTTGTTGTCAAACATCACTTGCAGTTTTTGTACTGTCAACGTAGAGTTGTGTTCTTCATGCCAATGGTGTTGTTTTTGGTAATTAGTGAATCTACTTGTGCATTGATGATTTATATTTCTGCACAAATCTGTGCATAATCTTCCAGTTTTTCACAAATGTCATTTGATTGTCTAATTGATCACTGTAATACTTTACCTTCTTTCTTATATTGTTTCACTCTGTTTCATTTTCTGTGGTGTGAAAACTAATGTAGAAACAGGTAGTCTAAGGACAAATTATTTTCCGTATAGGTGTGGTACTGTTCTTGTATGTTTGTGCATGACAGAGATCAATGCAGTTTCAGGCCTTTCTTGTAAATATACTGCACCTTACACATTACCTTATGTTTTTCATCAGTTGTGGTCGAGTTTGATGACAGCATTGTATATTTTATTTGATGACTTCCTATCCTTTGTGCTTAATTTAAGAAGTGCATCAAAAAAGTCTTGATGCATCACCTTATTTGGAGATTCCTAAAGATGTGAAAATAATATATATGAATATATAACATATCCAATTAACATTTACAAACATTGCTAGAAACTGTTAAATTACTGTGCCACAAGAAGACTTGTGTATATTAATTTTTATGTTACATGCAGAATACATCTTGCAACAATATATAATAAATGATAAACTTAAAAAGCAGCGGTAGGTTTGAACTGAAGCTTCTACAAAGTAATACTTATAGCCAAAAACAAATATCATATTTCGTTGTTTTTAATCTATTTTGACTGTTTTCTTAATGTAACAGCGATCATTTCCATATTTCCCTAGGTAGAAAAGCTATGTCAGCACTTCATCTACTTAATTTCAGTTAAAGGTACCCCTACACGTTGATTTGTCATGGGCCATTTGGTGGAGGAATGGAAGGAGTTTTATTGACAATCATTTAGTACTTTCTTGGAACCCAGTGGCTGAACTGTGGGAGGTAATTAAACAGTACGGTTCTCCTCTTCAGATTGGCGAGGTGCATGTATTGTTTGTTTCAAAGTATGTTTATTTACGACACTACTAGTTATTGTGCGATACATTGTACTTGTTCTGCAGAAGGATCTGTTAGAACTCCATACTAGAAGAAAAGGGAGGCAAAGTGCAGTAGAGAGTCCAGAGGAACGACAACACCTGAGACAGAGCAATGGGTGACCACAAAACCCTATTTTGAAAAGCTGACTATACAAATTTATTCAGTACAAGACATAGCAGGGATGGGCAGCTATCCCATTCTCCTTTACCCCTGTAGTCCATGGGTGGGTAAGATCTGTAATGGGCAAACTTATGAAGCAATTCTATTGCGAAAATAAAAAACTACAAGCGATCTTGTGGAACACTTCATCTCTGCAGTGTGTGTTGCAAGGTCATGAAATCATTTGTTAGTCAACTTGGTCT